CGTTTCTATGTATGTTTGATTTCTCTCAATCGATTTATGATTTTTGAACAGCAGTATACTACGGTTGCCTTTATTTATACACAACTCCAGACTCAAGGCACCGAAGTGTTACATTTTGTAAAAAGGCATATGTACCGACCGAGAGGCATGCATTTTTTTTTAATTGTCCGACTCCAAATTTCTTGAAAAAGACATTATCTATTTCCAAGGGGAAGCGAAAAACTCTAGTTTGCATTGTTTCCATTGAAAATGAGAAAAAAAATGCAACAACAATGAAATTTAAAAACTAATCTTGTTATTAAAAAAAAAATTCTATTGAAGTCGAAAAAATATGTTTGTCATGAGCCCAAGAAAATACATATTCTCCCGCCGACAAAAGATAAATAGTCAGACCCTAGACAATATGATTAAAATACCGATTATATGTCTAAGCTTTGCTTACAACAGGTACAAAGATCTGACAAATTCCATTTAAATCTCTGTTCATCAAATGTTTGAAGGTGTGTATCAATCCGACAAAACCAGAGAATCCCAACTGGTCTTTAACAGAAACTATTACTGTCAAACAGGCCTGTAAGGGCATGTGATCTATTATCGTCATTAAATATAATACAAACAATGTGCTGAGCCCATACCGCATAGTCAGCTATAAAAGGCCCCGAATTGACAAATGTAAAACTATTTAAACGAGAAAAACTAACGGCCTGATTAATGTACAAAATAAAGAACGAAAAACAAATATGATATGCAGCATAAAACGACAACCACTTATTTAACAATTGATTGGAGCGGAGCCAAAACTTTATATTTTTTATTGTATGGGGAAATATAGGGTGGTGGGTCCCTTGATTACGCATCTCCGGGTCATAAAAGAACAATCTATCAAATATTAATGCAAATAGTTACATGTTAAAAATGCCAACTTTGACTCCAAGATATTATCTAAATACCATTGATCTACATGCTCAATCATGAGATTTACGATTAATCATGAATGGAAACGAGGCCTAAAATAAAAAAAAAATCTTAATTACACCGTTAGACTCAGAATATCAAAGAACCCCAAGAATACAAGACTAAACGTTGAGGGCCATAACCCCTAAGATCGATCCAAACCTTCTTTTTTTAGTAAGAAACATTGTGGAACAATTTGATGGAGATCCATACACTTATACTCAAGTTATTGTCTGGAAACCAAATTTCGACATCGCCATACCAATAATCAGCCGCAAAATTTTTGCGGTCCTATAAAAAATTGAATACCCTTTCAGTTTTCCTATCGAATGGCGGTGGTTTTCTCCGGTCATTTCGGCTTCCTCCACCAATAAAAACTGACCTCCACGAAATAACATGATAAGACTGAAAGTGGCGTTAAACACCAATCAAAATCAATCAATCAATCAATCAATCAATCAGTCAATCATCAATTATTCATACCTGTATAATTATACCTGAGTAGAAAATTTTGTAGTTATTGTTATAAAATACCTTTAAAAGTGACTTTGATTTAATTATTTTAGGAAATTAAATAAGATAAAGCGTATCAAAAAGAGGGAATGAATATACCTGTATGGCTGTCTTTTGCATACAAGTTGTTTTTTCATATTTTCGCCACAGCAAGGAAATTCTTCAACTACTTCCTGTATCGATGGATCTAAATTTTCATCCGAAATGTTTTGAAACGTTGATATTTGTTAAATTGCACTGTCTCATTTTTTTCTTACAATTGCACTTTCGAAAGCTGATAGGAGGCTAGAGCATCTAGATTAGAAACAGTAAACTAGCATTAAAAAATAAAAAAAATGGGGAATGTGCCCATGGGACACAGATAATGCCCCCGCTTGCATTTAATGTTATAAAGGGACATAACTTAAGAACGGTTAAAGTAACGCTACCCAAATTCATACTTGATCTGAGTTGTGTGGTAATAAGCATTGTGTATAAGTTTCATAATATTTAAGGCAATCTTAAGTTAGAGAACGGAAACCAATTTCGGGACGTACGAACGGACGCAAAGATGGAAAAGGATAAAATTCAATGCCCCTACGCTACGGTGTAGGCATCAAAATGCAAAATATCCTGTGGTAGATGAAATATTTTAACTCCAGGTGCCCGGTACATAGTCGAGGACCAATAATATAATAACTTAAACCGTATATTCACTATTGTAGACCCATCTCAAAGACCTAAACCTAGCAATTCATCATTTGAAATTTCCAACCATATCAGATGTGATTTTGTCCTCTGGTTCTTACGTGGCAATGTTTATCTTTTTTTCAAATCTCAAACAATTTCCAAACTATATCTACAAAATTGAGCCGGGTTTATATTAATTCCAGAGAAGCAGATCGGAATCAGTTATGACGTAGACATTAATCGTTCTAATCGTAATTATGTTTATTGACCATAACAACGATGCATTTAATGACGTTTTGACATCTTATTATAAAGTAAACCGAACCACATCATAAAATGTAACAAGCAAATAATATAATGACACAACCACAACATATAAAGATGTTTGCACATAATATAAGGGAAAATACACATCATATAAGTATATTTGAACATCCAATAAATATATTTGCACATGACATAAGGATCTTTACACATCGTATCGGTACATTTGCACATCATATAAGTAAATTTACACATAATACAAATGTAGAAGGATATTTGCACATCACATAAGTATATTTTAACATCAAATAAATATATTTGCATAGCATATAAGTATATTACCACATCATATAAGGATATTTGCACAACATTAAGGATATTTGCACATCGTATAATGTCAACTAGACACCATATAAACATGAGAAAGGTGTTTGCACATCATATAATGACAAGTGCACATCATAAAGGTAAAAGCACATCATATAATGACAAACGCACATCATATAATGAAAATGGATATAATAAAATAGTAATTCATTATTTGAAATTTCCAACCATATCAATGTCCTCTTGGTATAATAAAATAGTTTTGGCGTTCCATACTATTTCATGTGTTAAATCAATGATAATTCATTTCAAAACAGAAACGCTGACTAATTTAATTTCCATTGTGTTCTGCTTATTCTTCCAAAGCACCTGACACTGCCAATAGTGTTTGGTGTGATCTGCATTGCTCAGTGTTTTGTGTTTGTTTTGTGAACGTGTTTGTCTTTTTGTCTACTTTTGTTATTTTCCATTGCGTATTCGAGTTATTGAGAGCCGTTGTTTTAATAATAAAGCTTTCACAGTTCACACGTATAAAGCTATAAGCCAGGAAATTTGTAAGCCTTGGGTAATTTAGTCATGTTTATTTAATAAAACTGTAATTTTCTATTCAATTATCTAAACAGTTAAATTAAGAAATAATTCTTTCATGCCATGCTCTATGCTTATTTTAACATGGGTAGGCATTATATTTGTCAATATCTTTAAACCGAGCGAATGCGAGGTGTAAAATGTTGACAAATAAAATGAATACCCATGTAAAAATAAGCATAGAGCATGGCATGATAGAATTATTTCGGTTCTAATAAGACAATTAAGAACTTCGAAGCGGGCCTATAACACACGTTCAAAAGGCAGCCATTTCGATTTTATGAAGCCAAAACGATATAAAAATTAAACCGTTCGACGATAAAAAATGAACAGAAACATGTAAACTTACTTTTAGAATGATTTTATTTAATTTACTAGCGAGCAACACCAACACAAATGTCCATTTTGGTCTCCGGTGTTGTTCAAAATACAACTGACATTGCAATTTCAATTGCGACGTCAATCACGTGCAGCCCATGTTCTATTGTAATTAGAACATGGCTGTGTTTCCAAAGCGAAAGAAGAACGTCATTTTAGAATACATGTTCATCTTTATACATATGATGTATGCAATATATATCATAACCCCAATGTACTACATAAGAGGTTATAACTGTTAATTATACAGTTAACTTTATAGTTATTAAATAAAACAAACCATTTAAATCTTTTAATAAAATATATCATGAAAAAGAATAGATTTAAATGATTTCCTCCTTTATTAATTACTTCACTAGATTGGATAGTAAAAACAACATTGAATATTGCAAGCGACCACTATTTACCGCTGGTAGATACCGGGGTCGATATTTACCGCCAAACCTTATACATCGACTATTTGGTTTCGGTGAGTTAAAAGGGGTAGCGTTGCCTTTCCTAGTATGTAACTATGATTTTTTTATATTTGATTTTGTTTTCTATCATTAGCAGTCTTGTTTATCCAAGGATTTGTATAAGAAAACATTGTTAACACGTTATAGCTTTCTAATTTGGTTACGTATTTGGGTAAGACAATAAACTAAAGTATCGTTGAATTATTATTTTGTAATACCATAAGGTAAGGTTACTGGCATTTACTATCACAGTATTGTATAATGGCTAGTCAGGCAATTTGCAACATCGGAATTCAATAGGTTACACTTGATAGATGTAAATAGTAAATCGTAATATTTGACACTTCCCGATGATCTACGTTCACCTCCTGTTTTTAGGGGGTTCATATTGTTTTATTTCTATATTTTGTTTTGTTTATAGCATTTATAATGAACGGTGACCTGTCGTCTTGTTATTTATTCTTTTGAAATGTCATTTCTTGACTTTTTGATGAGCATTAACCCAATGGTATCTTTTTTGGTCGGTTAAAAGAAAATATTATGCACACCAAACAAAATTAAATATTTTAAATATTGAATTTCGTCAAATACAAAATTTTGGGATCCAATGGTAGTTGTCGTAATTATATGGATTTTGTTGTTTGCCAAATGCTGTATATTTATTCGTTATGTACCATACTTTTTAATATTTTTTTGTGCAATGTATAGTATTTAAGTCTTATTTCATTATTCATTATATATAATTAAGGTTTTGTCCTGGTTTATTTGAAAAGTAGTATTTCAGTTTGCATAATCATACCTTATCGTTTCTATTATTGGGTATAAAGCCCTTATTGTGGCAGTTTCACTTACCTTGGACTGATGTTTCTTTTTCATTTACATGTATATGTTCAAATGACAAAACTAAAAACAGAACTGTGCATATATTCATCTACTTTCCAAGAAATTGCAACAATAAACCATATCTGAAAGTTTCAAAGAGATCAGTCAGATAGAGATCAATATTTTCCGTCATCGTAGAACTACGGTTTGTGCCCATTGCTTAAACAAATTCCCATAGAATGGTAAAGGACGAGGAATATGAAAAGGATTTGCCAGGTATATGTCAATGAAGCAGCAATTCGACGACAAGACAAGGCAAGAGGCTCTCAAGCGCCCGTGTCGCTCAACTGTCATCTTTACTGAAATAAAATTGATACAATGTAACGAGATGATGTGTGCTGAGTGAACATAATGTGGACTAAAATCGATCTTGTTGATCAATTCGGCTGGACCAAGTTTCCGTATATCCCTTTTCATTTTGTACATTATGAACAAAGGAGTAGGTCCGGTAAGGGCCGATTTTGGCCTCAAATTTCAGGTTCATCTGATTAAAGATTTTTGACACTTTTTAAACACTTAAGTGTCTACTTCAGTCGATTCAATTAGTTTATATGAAAGATTTTAACTGAATTAGTCATTTCAGACGCTCTAATTCAAGCTTAAATATGAAAAATCTGTCAAATATGCCATAATGTGTCACTTTTCAGATGGTTTTTGTCAAAAATGAAAGTGGCCGCATCCGTGTTCACTCTCAACCTTTATATATGTTATGTATTATCATTAAATACAACTTACATTTAAATATTAAGAATGAACACAAATGCGGCCACTTCCATTTAAGACGGAAACCGTCTAAAATTTAACTCAAATTCTAAAATTGTGAAGATTTCAGTAATTTAGCATGACTTAATGATGCTAGTACCCGATATATGTGCATTGTATTGTCAAAAACATCCCATTTTTATGTAGCAGAAGTATCATACTTTCGAACAAATAGCTAAAAGTTTACATTGTAACAATTTTGTAAAACTGCTATATTTTGGGGCCAAAAAGGGGTCTTACTGGACCTACTCCTTTAAAGTCTAAAGTAGAATAGATAAACAGTGTTATTTTTTGTGAAGTTTCTGTTAAAAAAAAGTGAAAAACTCGTCTTTCAAGGAAACTGATTCCTACAAGAAATAAGTTGAACTATCCTTTGCTTTGCTTGAACTATAGATTTATGCTGTCTTGTTTTGTTTTTCGAAGTATAAACAAATGATAAATACTATATCTTTCTTCTAGAGTTTCCGCAAAAAACAGGGTTAACATTTAAGTCAAGATCAGTCAACGGCAGTTTACCGATATTCAAATCTTATACATTGATAAAGAAGAAACATTAGCGTAACAAACAATAAAATGCTCCTCGGGGCGCAGCTTGATACGGACACTGTGGTGGAACCCTCATCAATTGGGGCAATTATGGAACCTACATCCAAGATTGATACAGCTCTTAATTTAGATTGAAATTAAATGCTTGACACTGCATAGGTTTTTCATGCAGAATGAATGTGTTCAAAGAACTGAAACATATTACTTTTACCTGTAATGGTCCAAAATAAAACGATCTAATACATCCCGCACAGCCAAACGGACTCCCCACTATGGCAAGCGTCTAACTGCCGGTCGAAAGAAGACCAGATGAAGACCATATGTCCTCACCGCAGTCAACCCTTGATGTAGAATAAGAACAGATCTGATATATATATATATATATATATACTCACAAAAGGCACATTGGCTGTACGGTGGTACAAACGTAGATAAAGTGGACTTTTTAAAATCTCAATTTTTTTATTGTGTAGACTAGATAGGCAATCCATATTAAGTATTTTTCAGTATATTTATTCTAAGAATTGAATAGAAGATTTTATTTTTTAAATTATTTATTTTTGGGAGAGATAGGTTTCTGAATCCTTATTTGGTATTGTCAAAAAGCCACCTTAACTTTGACCTAAATTTAGAAAGCCACTTTACTAGAATTCATTCTTGAACCTACAATTGGGATATAAGGTGGATTGTTGTCACGTGATCAGAGAGGTACAATAGTAGATAAGGTGTACAGAGATATACAGATTATGTGACGTCATTGAAATATATTGGTAGATAAAGTGGACATCGTGGTTACAACGGGAGTTAAAGTGGCTGATATTCGAAAATATATATACAATCGTGGAAATTCCAATACGTCACAAAGCAATATGGCGATTGTTTACATCAATGAGATGACATGTTTAAACATGAAAAGGAAAATTTTTAATAACATTCTAATGTGAATAAACTGCATGTAAACGTAAGTGAAACTATATATCAAATATGTTACTTACATATGTAGCATAGAATGATAAGTATTCTAAGAGGCTTACCTATCCTTTACAAAAAAGTCTTTGAAATTGAAATGGAATAAACTTAAATTCGGCAATTTATCAAATAGTTTGAGGGACAGTATATCAAAGCTAATGTATTTTAACGTACAATGAAAAAGAATATTAATTGTGGTAAATGTAACTAATATGTGTTGCATGAATATAAATATTTGAAACTTTAATATTTTCACAACCGTAAAAAATGTTGTGATTTTTCTCTAAAATATTTGGAATTGTATTTTAGAACCAGAATTTGCGTAATAATATTCGTATTCTTGAACAGGTAAAAGAAATAAAAAAAAAAATCGTACAGTACAAAGGACAAAATAATCCAACATCAACACCCAACTCCTCGAAATTTTTCAGGACAATTTTAACTTCATTAAGTATCACAATAAGCAGGTTTGCCACTGGTGTATTTGGTTATAATACTATAATATATATACCGACAAAAGATGTAGTTCTGATTCCTGCCTTCGCTACCTTCTCAATATTGTGATGCCTACCCTAACAAATGTTATAAGCCTTTTTAGTCAAATACTGTTTAAGTCCATATATTTTTGGTGAAGCAGTGTAAAACTCAAAACTTGTTACTTCATAAATAAAAATTTAAATAATAAAGTAGTATAATGTATTTGTGCTGTATTAATTAAAAACTCTTCAATTTGTTAAACGATTTTTTACTAGATAGAATTGTGTATTAGCATTGAAAATTGTGCATTAATATTTCCCTTTTAAAAAAATGTAAAGGTCACAACAAAAAGACTTAAGGGTGTTCAGATTGAACCGTAGGAACTACAGAAAGGTCCTGGGGAATTGCACACCTCAATGTTTGGATTGTTATAAGGTTAGGACAACTTGTAAAACAATGGGTGCTTTTTAGCTGGAATCATTATTTTATATGATTACAATGTGTGTACTCAGTGTAAATAAAAGAAAACAAAACAAGTCTTAGAAATAAAAATGAACACATCTTCCTATACCTATAGGAACTATACATAATTCTGCATTTTCAACCCTTTTTTTAATTCTCCCAATAAAGCCTTATATTATGGTAGTATAATATCTGTACATTTGTATCGACATAGAAATTCAAAGTATCGGGTACATTCGCACTCATAACACGTTCGAACGCTATACATTTGCAATCCACACAAACGCGCCCTATTTTTGCAAATATAGGTTACATTGTTAGATGCTTTTAAGATGTATTTATCAAAATATTTCTATTATCATAAAAAAAAAAATGTTTAAATGATTTTTTTTTTATAATTAGATAATTAATAATTAAATGTTTATTATTTTAGATAATTAATAATTATATGTTTATTATTCATGATCACTGTTAATTGGTCATGTTGGTATTTGCAAAACTAATTTTGTATCTGCGTTATGTGTTTGAAAAACATGATTCAAGTTATAACTAACTTTGGTTTACATATCTTAAAAATTCTAGAGATCTTTTTGATTTGGAAAGGACCGTGCATGATTTTAATGATTATGACAATTTGTATCATCATGACACTATTCATTATTCATTTCGTAAAAATAATAATAATAAAAAAACACTTAACTACTCTAAACTGGGACTATTACACATAATGTACAAATACTAGTTTTAACACAGATAAAAAAAAACATTATCTTTATTATTTAGCAATACAATAACTTAAACATAATTAAAAAAAATATTCAATACAAAACCTTTAAAAGGATGCAAAAGTGAAAGAGGTTGAACATGAATGGGAGCAAACGTGATTTTGGGTGAAAAGATCCGGTTTTGAAATTCAAACATATTGTTGCGCTGCCAAAAGCAAAGTGATGGAAGCTGACAGAGGAAAAGTTTTATTTGTAACAAACTGCTATAGCTGACTATGCTGTGTGGGCTTTACTCATTGTTGAAGGCCATACGGTTACCTAAAGCAGTTAATTTCTGTGTCATTTGGTCTCTTGTGAAGAGTTGTCTCATTGGCAGTCATACCACATCTTCTTTTTTATATGCAACGATTTATCAAGATTTTCCTGCCTTAATACCTTTAATGTATAGCCATACTTTATGAACATTAAAAGAATAAAATAAAAAAAATAAATGCGATAAAAATTTATTAACTTTATTAAAAGACACAGTATATGGAACAGACAAATAAAAAACTACCTTGGATCCATGAACTACTATACCAGTACAAAAAATAAAAACAAATTAAATATAAAATCATAAAAAAATATATAAATTTGTCAAAAAAAATGGTTTAGGCATGAAATTACCCTCTTTGCCATGTCATTATCAATTTGTTTTTGACTTATGAATTTGAATATCCCATTGATGTCTTTTGCCTAAATTAGCCTAAAATTGTTATCATCATTTGCAAAATTTCATTCTTGCCCTACAATTAGCTTAAACCGTATGTCAATCGTCAATTAATTACAACATAAATCAAACTATTATTCTTCAAATTATTTACCGTAGACTTTAAATCTTTAAAATGTATATCGTTGTAATTCACCTTATTCATGTAGTTTCTGAATTCAATTAATCACAATATTTCTTGTTTTTTTTTATTGGGGGACTAACATTTGATATCCTAGCTAAGCGGGGAATTTTTCTGGATCGGTCATTTATTTTCATATGTTGCTATGCATGGTTATATTTTTGTGCGGCTGTGCTGCATAAAAATTTACTTCACTTTTGTACGCATTTGATTCCAGCTTTACTAAATCCTAATATATGCACTATAAATTTA